TGTCGCTTGGGAGGTCGATCTTGTAAGCGTTGTTGTTGTAGCGTGCTAGCACCTTGAAGGGTCCATCGGCTCGGGGTAGAAGTTTGGACTTGCGTTCGTTGGGGAAGCGTTCCTTGCGAAGGTGTAGCACACAAGATCTTCGATGTTGAATATCATGGGTTGCTTGTTGATGTTGAGCTTGGTCGCGAGTCGTTGTACTTGTCGCTCGATGGTGTGCCTTATATCTTCATGCATCTTCTTGAGGTAGCTTGCTCGTGCACTCGCGTCCATGTTGGTGCGCTCTTGTAGTGGAAGAGGAAGAATGTCCAATGGGGACAATGGGTTGAAACCGTAGACGACCTCGAAGGGGGACTTGCCGGTTGTGGAGTGTCTTGCACGGTTGTAGGCGTACTCGGCGATGGGTAGGCACTCCTCCCACTCCTTGATGTTCCTGTTGATCAACACGCGTAGCAGAGTGGAGAGTGTTCGGTTTGTCACCTCCATTTGGCCGTCGGTTTGAGGATTGTTTGCTGAAGAGAACAAGAGCTTGATTCCGAGCTTGGCGCATAGTCTTTCAAAAGTAACTCAAGAACTTGACGTCGCGGTTCGAGACAATCGTCTTTGAGACTTCATGCAGGCGCAAGATTTCCCTAGAAAAAAGATTGCAATATGTGAAGCATCGTCTATCTTGTTGCATGGGATAAAATGAGCCATCTTAGAGAATCGGTCCACAACAACAAACATGGAATCTTTTCCATTTTGAGTTCTAGGGAAACCAAGTACAAAGTCCATGCTAATGTCTTCCCAAGGTTCTTGCAGAAGGAGCAAACAAAGAGAAGACTCAGGAATGCAAAGTTTGTTAGCTCTCATAAGGTAATCATCCTTGATGTAATAACGTTCCCAAGATGTATGCGTCAAACACTTGGCATAAGGAATTGCAAAAGTAGGATCATGCGCATACAAGTCTTTTATGTGCTCAAAGCCAAGTTTAGTGACAAGCATGCATATGCGGGAAAGGGCATCCGCCACAACATTTTCTTTACCTTTGATGTACTTGATGACATAAGGAAATGACTCAATGAATTCACTCCACTTAGCATGACGCTTGTTCAACTTAGTTTGACCCTTTAGGTACTTGAGCATTTCATGATCGGTACGGATGATAAATTCATGAGGGCGAAGATAATGTTCCCATTCACGCAAAACTCGCACTAAAGCATATAGCTCTTTGTCATAGATGGGATAATTGAGTTGCGCTCCGGAAAGTTTCTCACTAAAGTATGCTATGGGGCGCTTTTCTTGCGTTAACACACCTCCTATGCCATTACCACTAGCATCGCAATGAATTTCAAAAGGTTTGTCAAAGTTGGGTAAGAGCATGAGTAAGCAAATTCTTAAGCTCATTAAATGCAGTATCTTGGGATGGTTCCCAAACAAATGGCGCATTTTTCTTACTCAAAGAATGCAAAGGTGAAGCAATGGTGCTAAAATGCTTCACAAATCTACGATAGAAGCCGGCTAAACCAAGAAAACTACGCACTTGTTGCAAGTTGATTGGTTGGGGCCAAGTTTTAATAGCATTGATCTTAGATTCATCTACATGAACACCCTTAGAAGACACAACGAAACCCAAGAAAACAAGCTTATCAACACCAAAAAGGCATTTGTCCATATTAGCATAAAGGCGCTCTTTCCTAAGGGTTTGCAACACGGTTCTAAGATGGGTGACATGATCTTTGAGGGATTTTCTAAAGACAAGAATATCGTCAAAGTAGACCACAACAAATACATCAATATAGGGTCGAAGAACAAAATGCATGACTCGCATGAAAGTACCGGGTGCTTCGATAAACCCATTGGCATAACAAGCCATTCATATAAGCCAAATTTGGTCTTGAGTGCGGTTTTCCATGCATCACCTTCTTGGATGCGTATTTGATAGTAGCCACTCTTAAGATCAATCTTAGAGAAGATGCTGGCTCCGCTAAGCTCATCTAGCATATCATCTAAGCGTGGAATAGGGTAATGATATTGCACGGTAATAGCATTGATAGGACGACAATCGGAACACATGCGAAATGTACCATCTTTCTTGGGAACAAGGATTACCGGGACGGCACAAGGGCTCAAACTTTCACGTACATGGCCGTTGTCGATGAGTTGTTGTACTTGCCGTTGGATCTCCTTGGTTTCCTCGGGGTTGACGTGGTAGGGAGCCTTGTTAGGTAGAGGTGCTTCGGGGATGAGATCGATTCGGTGCTCAATGCCTCGTAGTGGTGGTAGTCCCGGAGGTAGCTCATCGGGAAAAACGTCTTGGAATTCCTGCAAAAGAGAAGACAACACTAAAGGTAGATTGTGAGAGGTGTTAGTTTTTGTTGCCTCGTCCTTGCACAAAAGGACATAGTGCATACCACTTGATGGGTTCTCACACACTTCTCTCATCTCACTTTTGGTGGCAAATAGGACTAAGTTTTTCTTGTCACTCATCGTGGAGACACTCGATTTTGGCTTGTGGCGCTCACTCTCTTTGTCGTGGTTCGCTCTCTCCCTCTTTTCTCCACGATGGGTGGCTTGCTTGTCGGTGATCACTTGACTTGGAGACATAGGTCGTAGCACGTACTCTTTTCCTTTCATCTTGAAGCTATAGTGATTGGTACGCCCGTTGTGGATGACGCCTCGGTCAAATTGCCATGGTCGACCAAGAAGGAGGTGGCAAACGGACATCGGGACGATATCACACTCCAAAGTGTATTCACATGCTCCTATCTTGAAGGAAACTTGTACCGTATACTCGACTTGGATAGTGCCGGAATCGCTTAGCCATTGAACCTTGTAGGGGTGCGGGTGCTTCATCTTGACCAATTGGAGCTTGGAGCATAGTTCTTCACTTGCCAAGTTATGACAACTCCCTCCATCGTTGATGACCTTGACGGACCTTCCATTGATGCCGGCCTTGGTGTGGAAGATATGGCATCTTTGGTCTTCATCTTGTTGATGTTGAAGAGTTAAGACCTGACAACGAGGGCGGGGCTCGAATCCTCATCACAAAAGACTTGATCATCTTCATCTTCGTTCACGCGCCGGTGCATGGCCACTTGCTCAAGGGCTTCCATCTCTTCTTCACTCATGGAGTGATATGTTCCGTCGTCGTTGAGGATCATGGTGCGCTTGTTGGTACACTCAAAGGACTTGTGGCCTCGGCCGTCGCATGTGAAACACTTGATGGAACTTGTCTTGACGGTCTCATCGGTTGGAGTAGATGATGAAGCTCACGGCTTGAAGGTGCTTGTAGTAGGAGGACAACTTGAGGTTGTCGAAGTTTTCTTGTAACTTGACTTGTCGCCGTTGCTTGTAGATGGCTTGGTTGAGGTAGGAGGTGTTGGAGTCGTTGAAGCTTGGTTGTTGGAGAAGCCGTAGCTCTTGGAAGAGTACTTGGCGTACTTGAATTCATCTTGCACTTGACGTTCCGCTTTGGTAGCTTGATGCACTAGCTCAATGAGGTTGGAGTAGGGTTGGAAGTCGGCAGTATTCTTGATGGGATGATTGAGGCCATTCAAGAAACGGGCCATAGTTTGCTCATCATCTTCGGTGACATTGGCTCTTATCATGGCAATCTATATTTCCTTGTAGTATTCTTCAACGCTCTTTGTTCCTTGCTTGAGGAGTTGGAGTTTCTTGAAGAGGTCGCAGTTGTAGTATGTTGGCACAAACGTGCTCGCATGACATCCTTCATTTCATCGCATGTGGTGATTGGTGGTTCACCTTTTGCTTCTCGGCGCTCAAGGACTTGTTCCCACCATATGAGCACATAGTCTTGGAACTCAAGGGATGCCATAGCGATCTTCTTCTCTTCCTCATAGTTGTGCAAGCGAAAGAACTTGTCGACCTTCAATGCCTATGATAGGTACTCTTCGGGATCATTGCTTCCGATGAACTTGGGCATGGTGAACTTGAGCTTGCCGTAGCGTTGCTCTTCATTGTGGTGGGGTTGAGGGTGATGATGACGCCCTTGACGTGGATGATTGTCAACCTCATATTGCTCTTGGCGTGGAGGATTTCCATAGTCATCATGCTCTTGGTGAACTTGAGGTTGTGGAGGAGCTTGTCGAGCTTGTGGAGGAGCTTGTCGAGCTTGTGGAGGAGCTTGAGGAACTTGACGATGCACTCTTGCTTGATAGTTCCTCTCTTGGATTTCTTTGCGAAGTGCTTCTTCTTGATTGCGCGTATCTCGGTTGTGGTTGGCGACGGCTCGACTTGACTCTCGAAGGGCACGTTGCGCCTCAAGTGCTTGTGCTTCACGACGTTGTTGTTGAAGATGTTGAGCCTCGGCATCTTGTTCGTTTTGGTAGGGGTAGGGGCTCCAAATACGTGATCGGCTCATGATACCAAGATGATGTAGGGTAGAATCTTAGATGCCCGATCTTTCACGATTGGAGGGAATCCTATGACGAATACGAAGAACACGAGGAGAAATCATGAGGGGAAACACGAGAGAATCACTCAAACCAACAAGATTCGGTCACACATATGCTAGATCCTCGAAACACAAAGAGTGATACGCGATTCAAAGTCAACAAAGGACGATATAAAACGTCTTCTTCGTGAGGAGGTCTTGAAGGGTCTTCCCGTGATGGGGTCTTGAATCCGCTTGGGGGATCTTCTCCGAAGAGGTTGTGAGCTCCGATGGAGAAGTAGCCAAGTGGATGAGCAAAGCTCTATCTCAAATATGAGCTAAACCAATGCTAACCCTAACTAGGAGGAGGAGGAGGTCTATTTATAGTCTAAGTGCAAAAGGGGGCGAAATGAGAGGGTACATGGGCCTCGGGCCCGAAGCTGCGGACACACAGGCAGCAGACGTCCGGTCCTTACCGGACGTCCGGTGGCTCGCGAGGGCCCGGACGTCCGGTAGGCTCGGACTTTCGCTAATTATGTTATGTAAACGTGGTACCGGACGTCCGGAGACGGCCGGTCGTCTGGAGGAGGCCGGACGTCCGCTCGCTGTAGCTTTCGTCCGCTGGGATCTGGGTCGGCTGGGCCTTCTGGCGCCGGACGTCCGGTCCTGGTCGGACGTCCGCTGGCTGGAGCTTCGGGCGCCGGACGTCCGGTCCTGGTTGGACGTCCGCTCGCTGTAGCTTCTTCGGTAGCTCTTCTTCTTGTCCTTCATGCTCGGTGTCCTTGCCGTCTTGTCCATTGGATGTAGCTGCTCCGTGGCCTTCCTCCAAGTACTGATCATACATAGTGTTTCCGCTTGAGGTAGTAGCCATGTCTCATGTGTATAAAGTGGTAGTTCGGAGAGAAGCAAGTTCACCTTGTCTTAGATAGCCTCTGCTCGGGCTCTTGTCATTGGTCCAAGTGGTGTCGTGGGGGATGTAGATACGTCCATGGGGATGATCGTGGGATGCTCTGCATCATGCGGACATGGAGGAGGATGACGTCGTCCAACATATTGATCCCTCCACTTTGAGACTTGGTGTAGTCTGATCTCTCAGGATAAAGCAATAACATGACACGGCATGGCATATCATGGCGTGAAACTGAGTTAACGCTACATGTAACTAACTCAGCACCATTATCCTCTCACTCTGATGGTGAGCTCCACATGGGCCCAACCGCATCATACTGCCCTGCCATTTCAGATGCTGCTTTTCATCTGAAAGCTGACCACAACGAAGGCTGATTTTTAAGCAACTAATATGTCAGAGGCAGATGATCCTTAATTTGAGTTAATTGTCCCATATTTATATCTCTTTGAGGGTTTTGTTTCCTGCTTGCTTTATCTTCCCGTCCTATATTATTTATATCAATTCTTCTCTGCTATATATAGAATCTGTACCTGCTTTAAAGATTCAGAATGGATTTAGATTAAAATGTATTTATTTGTTCCTGTAGTCCAGACCATCCATTGTCCAGAGCACATGGACGCTCAAACTTGGGTGATAGACAGTACGGAGATGGTGTAGCTGTATCAAGGTACCTCAGTAAGTTTCTATTTTATCAATTTGTTAAGTCTTAATCAACAAATAAGAAGATAGTTAAATAGCTCATTGCCATGATTTAAAGAAAATGCCTGAACAATGAAGGGTCAATAGAAATAGAAACAATGATAGCGAACGGGTTACCTACTCCTAAGGGTCAAAGCAAACCCTTTAATTCAATTCTTTATTCTTACATTAAAGAATGAATAAAATCTCCCCAAAGGATTCGAACCTACAACCAGTCAGTTAACAGTCGACCGCTCTACCACTGAGCTACTGAGGAACAAGGGGGGGATTCGACCTCCTAGAGTTCAACTCCCGCTCTCAACCCATGAACAATATGAGTCCGAAGCTTCTTTCGTAACTCCCATAATTTCTTCGTAGTGGCTCCGTTCCATGCCTCATTTCATAGGGAAGCTCAAAGTGGCTCTATTTCATTCTATTTCACTTCCAGCAACATTTTTTATTGTTCAAATAGGCCAAGTAATTTGAATATGATAAATAGAACCAAAGAGTTCTCGAGTGTCATGTTTTTGTTTTATTTTATAGTTCCAAAACTCGGCAAACAGGTCCTTGAGCGTCACTTGTTGTTTTTTAATTACATCGGCACCATATTTAAGAGGAAAACAATCCTTATTTGCCACCCATTTTCTGATCTGCTGCTGGAAAAAATGATGCTCCCATCCTGTCACTTTGCTATTTACTGTGCTGCAAAAAGACACAAATACCTTTCTAACCTTTCCTATGTCCCTCTCTCCTCTCCACTTATGTCTGGGC